TAGGTTGTCTCACGGCGGTATTCAGCAGGAGCTGGCACAGCTATATCATGAGGCAAGGTGTCCCGGAGGGCCTGGTGCAGCTCATCCTTGATCACAGTTGCAATAGAGTTAACTGTAGGATGAGGTGTTACACCAGCCTTTTGTAACTCTTCACGTACTATATCACGGATGAGTTCACGTAGACAGTCGTTGTTGGTGTCTAGTGGGCGGTGAAAATGTCGGCAGTAGACATGCCACTGACTTGCCTGTCGTATTGGTTGTATCGCTGTTGCAGCATTTTTTCCATTGTCACGGCCTCGGACAAGAACTCCGCGACCGTCTTCGGAGGACTTCGCACGAGGCCGGCAAAAAACTGGTCCTTGACACCACGCATCAAGTGACGCAACTTCTTGTCCTCCGTCATTCTTGAATCGGCCCGTCGGAAGAGGCACGTCATGTCTTCGACGAACGTGGTCACAATTTCGTTTGGCAGCTGGACGCGGCCAGAATAGCTCGTTCAGCTCGTTCTTGGCGATCAGCACTGGCATAGGTCTGCAGAAGTCTACGAGAGAATTTGGGCCACGTTGTCAGCTGTTCCTCTCAGTTTTGATACCACGTACGTGCCCCGTCTTCGAGATAGAAGTAGACACGACCCAGTTTCGCCGCGTCGTCCCACTGATTCAAAGTGGCTACACGCTCGAAATCCGCCAACCAGTCCTCAACGTCCTCGTGCTCCGAGCCATGGAACGTCGCCGGTGCGCGTGGCTTCCAACGTGTAGCGGTTCGACGTCGTGCTTCCCGTGCCGGTTGCCGAGGTTTGCACCGAAGCGCTGGTCATGTTTGTCGACGTGGTGGGAGCAGTATCGTCGGCTTCCGGAGGCAATCCCCTGATTCGGCGGCTGGTCCGATGCACGGGAGTATTTACTGGCACTGGACTCGTATCGCGGCTTCCTGGGGGGGTCTGCAGCGTCCGTGAGACTACCCAGCACCTCCACCAGTTTGTCACGATGAGTCACAAGTACTGGGGGATTTATTAAACCACCAGGTAGCTAGCACTAGGACGATGCGTCAGTCGTGGCTGGCTCTCGGGCATAGAAGCACACGATCTTCTTTTTTCCTCCAGATTGAGAGCCGCTCTTGCTGTCAACCCACTACGTGCTGGTGGCAATACTTTTCAACTGTATGTAAAATGCCTCAGCAACTCCATTATTCAAGTTAAAACTCTGTTGCCAGCTTTTAAGTAAAATTCCAGCGCAAAATCTAACAATTTTGAACAGAACACCATGCATTCAGCTAAAGATTTATTGGAACAGGCAAAATTATCACATCTACCCTGGCACAGAGAGCATGTAAAAATCAAGTATTGAAAGCTGTATCTGTAAGAACAACTTACGTGAACAAGAGACTTACTGGCATGTGTTTTCATTCGTGAAGCTAATTGCAGTCTTAGTCCCTAACTTCAATGATGAAAACAGGAAAGGATTATGTGATGCAGTTCAACCACAGTAAAAAACAGAGTGCAAGTGCAGTTTGCAGCAAAATGCTTTATCTGGTAATGGTTATAGAATCAATTGTGCTGCCAATAGTTGGGCTGCATTTATTGTGGTAGTTCAGGGATTACAAAAAGAAAATAAACCTTCAGCTGATCCCATGTTTTGCTGCTTCAAGGTTGTCCCATCGGGGCTAATTATTTTTTAAATATTGGTTATTTCGTGTATGTACAATTAAATTTGACTAGCAAATGTTATTTGGTCCATTATTTAATATTTGCACACCCCTAGAAGTGTTGTTACTACCAATGACCCACCATCTTTTTGTGTGAATGTGATTGGGCATCTGTAAACATCACTAGTGGTTTTTGTTTTTTGTGCTGTATCCCATCTCTCATTGAACACACCCTTGCACATGCCTCAAGGTATGTAAATGGAAAAAAGAAAACGCACCTGGCTACAAGTGATGCCGATTCGTGACATGCAATGCAAGTAAAACATAAGTGGATTTAGTGAAAGTTGCTCTTAATCTTGTCGTCCATTAGCAAGAAGGATCAGTTTATTGCAGATCTTTTTTACTTTTAGCTTACATCAGTTAACTAAGCATAAGCCTGTTCATAAGAACTTACTTGTTTATTATTGCATTATTTGTGCAATAATAATAAAAACACAAGGTCAGACAGCACAAATAACTCTGCTGAGATAGGAATAAAGTCAACTAAGCAAACTACAAAAAAAGTACATTTTAATATTCAGCACATGCCAGACAAAAAATGCAGTGAGTGCCAATACATTGGCAAAATTCTTGACGAAATCACGAGTGGCAACCTGGATAAATTATAATAGTTAGTATCAATAAAATGTATTTTTTGAGAAGCTTTAGAAGCATCCATTTTCTGGCTAAAGTTGAGTTAAATGCTCTGAGTGCTTTGTCGCAAGACAATAATAAAAACAAATGTAAAACCTCACATCAACATTTCAATGTTGTCCTGAAATAAAAAAATAAAATGCTCTATGTTAATTGTTTTTGCCAGAGAATTCTGGATATGAGAAGATTAATTGAGGCTGCCATATTTGCCACTGCAAACTGCTTGGGGAATGTGAAGTTCACGTATATTGTTATTACAGGTATGTGAATTGCTTTATATATTTCTCACAGCAATAACACATGCAGCACAACACTCCATATTCAGATGTTTTTTTGGCCTTTCGGGATAAAAATATCTTTTTGCTTGGGATAAATTTATCAAATAATTGACAAGCCTGACAACTAAGTACATGCATGTTGCCACATGTGTTTTATTTTGATAAAGTCGGGTTTCCCCCACAAAGACTCTAAGCAACACTCGGCGCAGCAGTTTTTCAGGAGCTCCGTGATAACTTGAGATCACACTATTAAGTTTGTGGACAGGACGCGAATAGTCTAGTGCTTACGCAGCCACCAGCAATAGCCCCAGAATTTTCAATAGCACTTGTGTAAAAGCAGATGCACTGTACTGCTCGTCAGAGTATTGATGCCCGACGCACTGTTTACCAATATTAGGGCAGACTATGTATTGCTTGTAGTTTGGCTTTCCATACTTCAGGCAAAGTTTCGCTAAAATAAAAAGTTTGGTCTCAACCCCGCCGACTACTGCAGTCTTGAACATCATGGCCACGTGACAATATTAGTTTTTATGTCTCTCCAAGAGGTGTTTACATCTATAAATCCAGAAAGTTGAAATTTCATTTTTTAGAAATGTGCAGATGTACAACTGCTAAATTATGAAGTCTACTACTAACAGCTACCTTTTTTGTATTATTGTGATTTCATTTGGTGAAGCAGAGCAGTACACAAGTTCCACTGTTGATGGAGACAATGTGACAAAGCCCATTGATCCTTAAAGCAGCTTGCATCTCAAGCTGTCTAGCATGGTGTACGAGTGAAGGTTTCTAAACAAATTTCCAAATGAGGCAATTGTTGCGGATGATTGCAACAGAGCGAGAACAAGCAGGAGAACCAAAGAGAAAGAAGAATGGGAGGGAACGAGCGGTACAAATTAACATCAACGTTCTTGGTGTAGGGCTTTGATCTTGAATACGCTACAGCAATGACGTGCTGGTCACAATGGCCTGCTTGCGGTCCCCCATTTTCTCAGATTAGCAATGGAATGTAAAGAGCTCCTATAATTGTACAGAAGAAGTCCTTGGACACCTTTATTATTAAAGAAATGGTGCACAGCTAATGGTTTGAGAATTCACACAAATAAAACACAGTTCATTATCTTCCATTTGAGTCATAATGCTCTTTCACCTACCCCGGCTATTACTATCAAGAACCACAAACATCTTTGTTCCACTAAGTTCACATTCTTGGGAGTACTCCTAGATGCTCATCTAAAGTACTATCATTACATTTCACTTATAAGACAGAGAATAGCTCATGGTATCAGAACATTAATTAAGGAATGACCATGCTTCAACTTTGCTTAAGCTATACTACGCCATTATCCACAGTCATATTACCTACTGCATCACGTCATGGACCAACACCTATCCATCTCATATCCTCCCACTACAACGTCTCCGAATCCAAGCCATTCGCAGCCTAACATTCAGTACTCTATTCGCCAGCGTGCCCCCGCTTCTTCAGTGACATAGTGTACTAAGAGTAAGTAATTTATTCAAACATACACTGAGGATTCTTGTATTTAATTTTTTAACGCTTCCATAACGGCCAATGTCGTACAAAAATTTTAATTGGTAAACGCTAATCCCACCAGGTTCGCCTCTAACAACAATTTTTTACTGCCACATACACGCACTAACTACGGCAAACACACTACCGTATTTGCTGCCATACATTTTTGGAATTCAATACCACTATGCACTAAACAATTATCATTCAATACTTTTAAGTAGATTTGAGATGTCTGGTGTATCATTAATTGAAGTCCCTTTTGTTCAATATTCTACCGCCATCTTTTTCGTAGCCATGTATATTTACTGAAGATTGTTTTATTACCATTTTAGCTGGAATTTACATTACAAGTTTGCCTTGTCTTTATTTCTATCATAATAACTTTCCACTTTTTAGTTGCCACTTTTCTATATCTATCAACATGTATATTTTTCACAGGAGCCTTGAACCTTTAAGCCTTGTGCTATGGGACCTCCTTCTGTATATATTACCACATATTCGTTTACGTTTTTTGCAACACATAAACATTTTTGACCGACTGACCTACATAGCCATAACACAGCAGACAAACTGACAGGACAGACCGAATGGCTTACCCTATGGAATTTCAATAGTTTAAAATATCACCAGCAAAAAGCATTTCAATTCAAGGATTATGAACATACTAGAAATTGAAGTCATCGCACAGTGGAAAGTACACCCAGCCCTCGAAAAGTTGAGGTGGGTTCGACTTCGATTTCACCTCTGATGACAGACAGTACTGTGGTGTAACTGTGCTTGCAGATGACCTAACAGACCAGACTTTGCTTGTTTTAAGTTAAGTGAGGGTGAAAACATCCAGCACTACAAACTGTATTTGCGATTTCTTTATTCAAAGTAAATATGAAGTCTCCATGGGAGCAGGTTTGCTCTGGCAATTCATGGATTCATTTTACATTTTCAAATGTTAGCAAAGGTTATGTTGCACAACAGTTTCTTGTCAAGCAGAATGAGAAATTATGTGTACTAAACGCCTTCAGAAAAAGTCCACAAAGACAGATACTGTCCTTATTGCAGTACTTGTCCACACTGAGCCGAGCAGCAGTACGCGGCAGCATCCCAGCTCCGGTCACTGATCCACATTAATTAGGGGCCAGCCTAGAAGTAGAGAGGATAAAACAAAATTGTTTTAAATTTTAAGTTCAGCAACCTGCTGTTTAGCGATATTTATAGTTCTTTTTTAGGACAGTTGCATGCGAAGAAGTCTGCACTTTTAGGTGTGTCAAGATCACAGAGCAAGTCACAGAGATGGCATAGCATCGAGTATGAAACTGACAGCTGCACAATTGGCTAAATCAAAGACTGAATGCAAGAAATGGAAGCAGAGAGAGGTTTGCATTGTTAAAAAAATTATGTGACATAATCCCGTATTTAGTCTACTAGACTGCTTTACCATTCACGCTGAATACACATGAATCACAATAGTGAATAGGAGCGATACTCTAATAGCAAGATGAAAGACTGCCAAGTAGTTTCTAACTTTGTGTGGTTGGTTGCCATAGCTACACGTTTAACCAAGCGAGAGTGAATTGCACGACAACCAAGAAAGAAGCACCGGCCATCCTAAAGGCACCCAGAAGCTTCCACGAAAGACGGTGGTGCAGTATCTGTATTGAGGATCCCACTAGCTGACGTGTGAAACAGTAAATGCTGTCAAGCTTTGAGAAGAAACTGAAGCTCTAAAACTGACACAAGCAGGATTGATCACAGTGCCATCCATACTAATTACAAAATATTCAATCTCTATCATAACTGCTGTCATTTGGGCGGTCATGACGGCATCCAGTGGACATACATGAAGATAACCAAGCAGTTCACATGATCTGGCATAAAAGAAGAAACAACAAGATAATCATATCATGAGTGCCAGATTAATAAAGTAACGTTTAGGCAGCTGACTCAACATATGGTATCACAACACTTTTCTGCACCGTTGGAGGTCACTCACATGGACTTAGGAGAATTTGTAAAAAAAATCCAAAGGTTATGGCTTGTAAATGGTTGGTGGCAGCAAATGCAGAAAAGGCCATACCAACAGTCTGATTTCCTTTCTAAACTAAAAGATGTCTAACAAAAAGCCAGTATTAGGGAGACAGTGAACCAGATTCACAGAGTCATCAACCCAATAAACGGGTAGACCAACAGCGAATTGCGCTCAGGTTCACTGTTCCATGTCATTCAGCAGTTAATGGGCTAGTGAAGCCAGCTAATTAAGATATATTGTAATACTTCAGCATGTGTCCAGACTTCCCAAAAGGATGGAAGAGCTGCCTTTAAATGACGTAGCTCATCGTGCACAGCCCTAAAAAGCATCTCTTGGGTGCACACTTCTCATGCATTTTTACATACTGCAGCCTCAATGAAGCTATTGCAGGAGTGGGGAAAAAAACCAAGAACAAAAATAAACATTCATGAACAGACTTTGGACTGCTTCTGCAAAGCAACTTATTTACCAACCAACGTGGCTGTGAGTTGAAATGATAATCAGCCTGACAGAAGAGGGAACTAAAGAGGGTAAAGCTAAGTACAGAAAGAGAGTGAAAAGGAACTTCGACCCAAAACAGAATATAGCTGTACCAAGAATTGAGGTTCGGGACTAGATGCTAGCGATGAAAGAATTGCGAAACTCAGCAGCGAGTCACAGAGGGCCATTCTCTTTTGTCAAAATGGCAAGCCAGCAGGGACATTTAAAGATTGCCCGATACATTGGCCTCAATAACTACTTCGAATTGGCCTCCACAGCCAACATTCTAAAGGAGCACGACACCACTTTTGAAAGGTAAGTTTACCCTGCCATGCGAATTTTATGGATACAAAGATCACTCTGAGCAAGTTAGAAGCAAATGAAATCGTTATAAGATATATTATATTTTTTCTTTTTTCTGCAAACCGTGTTTTTTGTAGAAACTGCGTATGTCATGGTTCGTGTTATTTATTGCTGTCTTTGCCTAATTCAGTTATTCACACGTGTTTTTGGTGATGTTGCCATTCCTTTTTGCTTAATGGCGCGTGTGTTTGTAGTAAGCTAGATTGCGTTTTATTGTACTCTTGTGACTCTATTTCCTTCTTTGTGTAGTTCAATTTTAAAATATTTTTTTAATTTTATTGTTGTTTGACTCATATTATTTCTTCTGATTATTTAAGATTATGTGGTAAGAATATTGACCTTATATTTATTCTAATGTATTTAGTAGCTGTATGGTGTTTAGTTTGCGTGTTTTCTGGTTCTATTAATCATTTCATGTACCTGTATGTGTTATAACCCCCCCTATGTAATACCCTCCTGTGAGAGGGCCCTTAGGGGTATTCTGAATAAATAAATAAATAAATTATTTCTTATATTGAAGTCAGGTTTCCCGTGGCACATCAGGCAATTCTAGGGACTTTGTGCTGCGATCTGGCTAGTTGTGATGACATCAGGAACCAAAACGGCCGCTCAGCGTCACAAAATCTATCAAAATTACTGCTTGTGGGTTGGCAATGGAGCCACGGTGCGTAGCAGCCGAGCAAGTTTCATGATTTCTCACACAAGCACATGACGAGGAGCTCATATTGTGTTACGATGTCAGGGCACTGTAGATATGAAAACTGGCTTTTAAAATGATACTGTTATTACTTTTGCGGAGTGCACTCGCACTTTGCAGTACATTTTCTAGATCCTTGAAAGTTGGGCCTTTCATTTCCCACATGAAAATAAAAAAATTGCAGTTAGTACCCCTTTATCATTCGGGGAGGTTAGAAAACAAGTGCTGCGGAAGTGAAGCAAGCTTAAGCAGTTGCAAAAGACAAATGATTTCTCGCATAAGCGACTAGGAGGACTGAGGTATTAAATAAAGAAGTTAGAAATGATGACAAGGAGAGAATGTGTCTCTGTATTATGTGCAGTCTTTTTACATACCACCTGTTAGCAACTTGTACGATAGGCCAAGGTTAGTGTGCATTGAAAGAAAAATGTGAACTAACTTTTGCAAGATCACCAAAATTTGAGTATGTGTTTTTTAAACAATGCATAACAAATATGTGTCAACAGCATAGCATTGTGCCATTTTGTTAGTTACACCTCTGAGTATATTTATGGCAATAATGTTAGCATAATCTGAACAAATCAAACATTACCTGTCAACCTGAGGTGTAATGATGTTTTCTTCTTTTTTTCATTGAGCCAAAACTAGCAGTGTTCCAAAGGGCCCAAGGAATTTCTCAGCAAGGTGCTGCAAACAGATTATAAACTGTTCATAAACTTATCAACTGATCATTCACAGCCCTACAGCTAGTGTAGCACTCCCTGTCACATGCACTCGGCGCACAATCATAATTCATCTGCCTTACGCGAACATGCATTCTCTGTAAAAGGGAATGCCAAGGAGGGTGCATTTTTTAACACTACGTGCAACTTAGCTGCAGCTGGTTATTCTCTTCATTCACAAGGCATTTGTCAATTAATTTACGTGTAAAGAATGCAAGCTCAAACCGCTAGCGATTCCGGATTGCAGTTTTGATGTACACACTGCACTATTTCCTACACTAACTGCAGTTTTTTGCAACGTGATGCTTACTCTCAGCACGCGATCGTAAAGATTCCAACATGCCTTCCCCAAAATACATAGCAGCTCTGCGGTTTAGCCTCATGTAACGGCTGCGTATTTTTTATTATTTTATAGCTTTGACAAACACTCAAAGGTGCGGGTTGCAGTTTAATTTTTTTGTTGTGGTTTAGCTTATTCCACTGAAGTCTATGCGCACTAAATGCACTGTGCAACAGCAGCAATAGTCGTGCTCGCACTGGGTAGCGTAGTAACCGAAGCTGGGCAAGGTTCCTTTTGGCGTTGCTAGAGTGTACTAGAATAGGCTATTCTAGTACACTCTAGCGTTGCATAAGTGGTTGCCAGACTGAGAGGGTCAGTGTTGCCAGACTGCCGCTAAATTTGACTGCAAAAAGATTTTTTGTAGTGGTGGTTTTTTGTGAGAATTTGGTGCCATCCGCGGTGCATTTCGTGAACGAGCGACGCTGGCCGTTTTAATTACCAGAATGAACCGCGCCTAGCAGTAGTCGAGCCTGGCGCTGCCGTGAAATTAAGAGGCCGTTTTAATTAACGGAATGAACCGCGCCTAACAGAAGTCGAGCGCGGTTCGATAAAGCAGCTCGATAAAGCAGCCTTTCAGGCGTACATAGCTGTAGCATATCCGACGTACCCCGATTAACCAGCCTTGGAACGCTTATTCATCACATGTATATACGAGTCCGAACGATATATCTTGGGCTGACACAGCTAGGGGAAGCGTAGCGTCCCCCGTCATAGCGCGCGGTCGACGTGACACGATCAGCTGAGAGAAAAAAGAAAAGTAAGGGGGGAGGGGGGCAGCGCATCACCTCCTGCGACTCTATTCCGTTTTCCCGTCATCCCTAAAACTGACACGCGATATCTTAATTGCACAGCTGAGCACACAGCAAGAGAACGCGCCTCGACTTCTGTAATGGGAGGTTCATTCCGTTAATTAAAACGGCCTCTTAATTGCACAGCAGCGCCGCGCTCTACTTCTGCTAGGCGCGGTTTGTTGCGTTAATTATATTGGCCTCCTAATTGTACGGCAGCGCCACGCTCGACTTCTGCTAGGTTCGGTTCATTCCGTTAATTAAAACGAATTCTGTAATGCGCGGTTCATGCCGTTAATTAAAACGGCCTCTTAATTGCACGGCCGCACCACGCTCGACTTCTGCTTGGCTCGGTTCATTCCGTTAATTAATACGGCCAGCGTCGCTCATGCACTCGCGAAATGCACCGCGGATGACACCAAACGTTTACGGGGAAAAAAAAATTACGCCAAATTTAGCGGCAGTCTGGCAACAATCGCTGTGCCTGCGCGAGCATCGTTTGCGAACTTGACCGCACCGACGGTCTCGTAAGCAAGCATTTTATGGCTCTGTTCGGAACTGCAAAAAACAACTTACCGAAACCAGCATCTCGACGTCTACTTAATCTTTACTGGATACGACGGTCCACTTCTTGGTGTCTTCTCCAGTCGTTGAAATCGGGCCATGACTGCCGGCGGCAGTGAAGTGCAGCTTCGGTAGAGGCACGCTCACAGCGTTTCTCGGCACACTTGAAGTTTCCACGCGTCCCTCCGAATGTTCGGAAGGCGTTTTTCTCGATCAAGATCGCCTCAGCAAACACAGCATGCGCGAAGTCTTGCCTGGCAGCTGCCAGCAGCATCGTCTCGGGCGCAGCCATGTTCGCTGACGGCATCACGCACGAACCAATGAGCGCGCAGCTTCCGAGAGCCTCGTAAGAGCGCCTGGCGCAGTGCATTGTAGGTGGGTCTATCCGCTCGCCTTTGTAAACTCGCGTCCCGGCCGCGAGGGCCGGAAGATGCTGACACCTTTTTTTCTAGCCACCATACCCCAGTGCTTTGAAAAACTCTGCGCCATCATCCTGAACTATAGGGTAAAGTCCTCTACAGAACATTATCAAGTGTTCGGCAGTTTCTTCCTCCTCTCCACATGCACTGCATACCGTGTCTACACTCTTTGTATTTGGCCCGATATCTCTTGGTTCGCAATACTGCCGTCCTGTCTGCAAACAGTAGAGGACTACAGTGAGTATTATCATAGATCCTATCATAGATCATAAAGCACGCGGCTGCCTCTGCTGTCCCGGGTGGCACGAGCGTTTTCAGCCACAGAACACCTGTTTTGAGCACGTACGACCAACCCATGGAGGCGTTTTATCTCTAGATTGATCCTCAAAACATTCCTAGATTGCAAGGAAAATTCTTAGATTATATTTTTAATGTCATTATTCAGACTAATTGAGTTTTAAAAAAGTATCAAGATAGTGTGCTCTGTGGCAAAGTGCTTGCAAATGGCACCTGTTGCCACCGAAGACGGATTTGCACGTCGAATTTGCTTTGCACACGCATTGAAGAATACATGTGATCATTCGGTCAACCGCAAGTTTGTCGCGTCTTTCTTGTACTTGCAGCTTGACAGCTGAGGCGCTATTCTTAATTTTCCACATTTGCAATCCCTGTTGCAATATTTTCAGATGATGTAAGTACAAAGAGGAAGGTGTGTAAGTGGGCGCTCTATTACTGGCTGATAGCCCCGCCGCGGTGGTCTAGTTGGTGGCTAAGGTACTCGGCTGACATGAGCTTCCTCCATGTCGGCTGCTGACCCGCAGGTCTCGGTATAGAATTCCGGCTGCATTTTTTATGGAAGCGAAAATGCTGTAGGCCCGTGTGCTCAGGATGTGGGTGCACGTTAAAGAACCCCAGGTGGTCGAAATTTCCGGAGCCCTCCAATACGGCGTCTATAATCACATGGTGGTTTTGGGACATTAAACCCCACGCACTGATATAGCTACGCCTTTCCTCTGCACTTTCGATCAGCTCCATGTTTGACCAAATATATTCGTAACTTTTACGCTCACTTTTACGCTCTATAATATTCCTAGGTATTTCACATGGAGACTTCGCTCGGTGAAGGCACGCAGTCAGCGTAATCTTGACATGTGTTTATATTCACTCCAAGACAAAAATTTACTTTTGTTTCACAGTGCAGCAATCACTCAGTGAGCTCATGATATGCGTGTGCTCAACTCTTACGACTACATAGCTCAATTTTCCGCAATATTCAGACTATAACAATCTCACATAACAAAACTGCTATCCCCTTCACACAACTCATAAGAACACCAAGGCTATCTTAAATTAAAAAATACAAGACATAGCCTAAATTATCATTTTTTAAAGCCTTTCTAGTTGAAAGAGAGTGGTCACTTAGTAATGCCTTTATTCAGGCCGTGAAATGTGACATTTCAACAGCCTCATGAAATTCCCTAGATTCAAAAAAAAAAAAAGACGCCAGATCTCTAAATGAGGTAAAAAATCTCGAGATCTCAGGATAAATCTCTATAGTTGGCATCACTGCAACTTACGGAACACAGTCAGATTATACGAGTGGCGAAACTACAAAATACACGTACAAGTCACAGAAAAAATCGTTAAACATCGCTGCTTGAGCTGGCCCATAAACACACAAAACTCGCAGCTTGAAGGATGATAGGACAAAGCCATTCCGTCCAATACAGCCATAGAATACATGGTGATCGCGTGTTTAGAAAAAAACTGGTGACCGATTTAGAGTACTTGGTACTCTACTATGGGAGAGCACTAGGTCAACTAGGCCGTCCCGTGGGCCTCACACTGAAGAGTGTTTAGAAAAAAAGTGGGTAACGATTTAGAGTACTATATGTACTTTACTATGGGATAGCTTAAAGCCATCACGTCGCTGTGGCTACATAATAAAATGCTTTATGAAATACACGACAGATTCACCGGAGGAAGGAAGTAATCACTATCTACATAAACGTTTGTAAAGCTAGTATAGCGACAGAATATAAACAAAAACATTTATCTGAAATAGAATGTTACATTTGTCTTTAGCAAAAAGCAGAAATAATTCGGCCAGAAAATGTAAACTTTTATTGTAGAATAGACATAATACTTACTTTAAGCATGCCTTGAAGAATTCTATAAGCACTCTCTGAAAACGAGTCTTTGTGTTCTCACAGAATCCATGTGAGTAACTTGAATCAGGGGAAGCTTTCGCCCCACTTGCTCCGTAAAGATCGCCTAAGTGCACTATTTAGGAGCACGTGTTGAGTTGTTTATCCCCAGGAAAGCCTGTTGCTTGATAGCGCGTGTGTTGTTCTTGAAGTTCGTGTGCGCGCGGATGGTGTCTTGCCGGCGAGGTGTGTATGATCGTGTAGCCCTGTCACGCAGATCGCGATTAATAGTGACCATGAATGAACACACAGCGCAGTTCAAGCCTGACCGCGATAAAATTTGCCATGTGACACGACGATAGGCGAAATGCTTTCGCTCATGCCAATTTGCTGAACACTGATACATAATGACAAGAAAACGCATCTGCTGCCTTCTTTGGAAGCTCTCGAAGCGGTAGACGGAAGTAAAAACAAGCACGGACGTTAAGTGACGGCACGGCAGGGCTACACATCTCCTCGGCAGATCATGTGCACCGCACCGTCCGCCAGCAACATCAACTAACCTCGCGCGATAACCCCGTAAAGATAGAGAGCAACAATTAAGCTCGCCTAGGGATAAAATGCCATCGTGCACGGAGGGCCATCTCGTGTGTTACCTTTCCTTCCTCCGTGGTTACTAGCAAGGAGGAACGCCTCCTAGATTTCTTGTGCCTACCGGATCAACGCGAAACGTCAGTCATCTACAGCGGTGCTGCCTACGTAGGAATAAGAGTCTTTGTACTCAGCCTTTGAGATGTGCAACTTTGGCGTTTGCTACTAATTTCAGAGGATGCCTTGTAATAAAAAGTTGTTTGCTAATTGATGGCGTCACTTACGTAGGGTTAAATTTAATTACGTTTACGTCTTTTTAGAACTTTTTAAAGTGATTTTTGTTGCATATAAGCTCCAAGAACGTTAAAACCTATTTGAAGACACCCTACTTGAGTGGCGCCACCACCGTAGCTTCAACGACCACCGCTTCTCAAGTGACCAGCAATAATCCGGCAGGCACAAGAAATCTAGGAGGCGTTGCAAGGAGGTTCTATGCTGTGTCTTCTGGAACATAGAGTTTCT